GAAAGGTAGTTGTATCCGTACGAATCGGCTCATCGCTCTTGGTTTTCTTGGACGGTCTCGATTCCGTAATGGGAGCGGCTTCTAGAAGAGTTCGTGCGCCTGATTGAGCTGGATAATACTCCTCCGCATTGTTGGGAGGGTATGGCGGAGGCGCAGGATATAGCGTAGGGCGTACATTTTCCTTATCAGTACCAGTTTGTCTAGAGTTGACCGTCTTGAATGTGGACATCGGCGGTTTCTTCGACATTAACTCTGTCGCAGGCGCACTTAATGTGGGAGGGCAGCTATCTAATGCGCTCAGCTTAGGATTTTGCGGCGCACCATGCGGGCTAGTTGAAGATTGAGCGAAAGATTTGTAAGGTACTGAGTGCTTCCTGTCGTTATTGGGAGCATTGAAGGCCACGTTGCTGGTCGAGTTTTGTAAAGGACGGCGTGGAGAGGACTGCTTTCCGACGGATGGCATCGGCGCTCTGCTTATCGATGATACCGTTGGCTGCCCACAGTTTTCTTCATGGAATTCATCCTGATATATGTGTAGCGGCTCATTCGAGACCGCAAAACGCGTCGGTCCGGCCATGCTAGCTAGCCAGGGATGGAGAGTTCCTAAAATCGGCGATGAAGGATACGACCTGCTTATGTAAGTTAATGCGATGCGCCAGTGGGTAAAAGCAATTGGGCAGCCAAAAAACGACTATCCGTGATCGAGATGGTGAGGCAGTAAGTTTTCTGCGATGGATGACGACAAAGTAATTGGATGAAAAGCGCCAGGCGAGACTCACCTTGGTTAGAGGAATGCGAAATGAGCGGTGGAGACGGAAGGCAAAGCCGGGTCGACCTTGGGGCGTTGTGGATAGCTATGGCTATAATAGGAAGAATTTTAGCAAGTGGGCTTGCGATTAGGATAGGTATTGAAAGTGCTGTGCGAAGACGTACATTGGCAAAATAGACGAAGATTAGCTCTCCAAAGAGACGGGTAGTGTCACAAACGGATGGAGATGCTAATGGGTGAGCGGGCGGCGGGGATGAGAGGAGGTGGAAGACGAAAGGGAGGGGAGCCGGATCGTCGAGATCTGGGGGAGGAATGACATCTGGAGTGCGACTGCGACAGAGGGAAAAGATCGGTAAGTACGTACTGCAGGTGGTATGTAGGGTAGCAGCGTCCAACTAACAATCGCTGGGTCCTTGGTCTTTGGTAGACCAGAAGAGCACTCCACCAGAAAGGGCGGAGTTTGTTGTACTTAGGGTACCGAGACAGGCGGATAGGGAGCACTGAAAGTTCCTTCGCTACCTGTTTTGGGCAAAGCAGAGACAAAGCGGGTTAGTTTGAAGGGGTCTGAAAGCAGTGTTCGTGTGGAAAGGTCGGAAGGCAGAACAGGTACAGTACACTAGTACACTAGTACGTTAGTGTGGTTTTGTACCAAGCTGAGCACACAAGACGGACGACCTAGTAGGGCTTAGTTCGCCAACTCATCAGTGGAGCTTGAGTGGGGCAAGGGAAGCGAAGTGGGGAGCTATGGAGTCGACCTCCCGGCAGAAAGGAAGATGGCGAGAGAGGATTGGCTCAGAGAGCTCCGGGCTGAGACGATGGTGGCAAGCAAGATAACAAGGGCCCTGGACTGAATAGTGGGGCTGATCAAGGTCGGTAGGCGGACACAGGTTGACATGACGCCGGACGGTCTGGTTGGAAAAGTAGGAGCTCTGTGTGGAGTCTTAGGCCCAACAGGTACGGTAAATCGGTAAATCGGTAAATCATACGCTGCAATGCAAAATCCATGAAAACGTACCTTTGCTTCAATTCAGGTTTTTAAAGTGCTATTCCAAGGACTTCTTTCTTTTAGAGTGTTATCCAAAAATCGTTGGAAAGTCGCTGAAGTCGCTTGGTAGCGTCGAGAGTTCAGTCCAGCAGGTAAGCGACCGAGTGAGAATGTCGTGGAAATGCCGATTAATGGTCACGAATCGAAAGAACAGGTAGGTTTGCTGCCCTCGATGCGGCACAGAAATCTCAAAGCTGTGTTGGCTTCGGCAGTGATGGAGCGCCCGGGAAAATGGTCGTTGGGGATTTCAATCGACAATGTTCGTTGCACTCGACAGAGCTGGGTCAGTCACATTCTGACACCCTCTGTCTTTCACCTTCCCTCTGTTTTTCTTTTCTTAGCCCACGGGAAGGGCAGTACGATCTTCGCGTATAGTTCCGCTCGTTGGTGCGCACAATGTGTGACCAGAAGGATGCAATTCGTAGTGTGCGAGGAGCGAAAGCCGTCGGGTCAGGGATTAATGAGGTGGACGTTAGCGATTGGGCGTGAGGAGGCAGCGCGTAGAGTGATTCCCAGATTGGTTGGGGAGGAGAATTCAAAGAGGGGGCGCCCTGACCGAGACGCGTCGTATTGTTTTTAAATGCCTAGCGACGTGTCTGGCCAATCAGGGCATGATCCAGAGTCATGCCTGCTATGTACACCCCGTGCGGGCGGTACTTCTGCATGCACTTTGCACCTGTGCCTGCTCCCCCGCTGAATACTCGCTGAGACCGTACCGACTACAGCCTAAATCGCGTGTAAAATACCGTGTGATCCGAGTACGGAAGCTGCCCTCTCCAAGTACTTCATGCCGTAATGTTCTGCAATGGTACTTGCAAAAGTCGCTGTGGACAGGTACTTCGCACGGGCGGCGCTATTAGGCTAGTACCTTTATCCACTTGTAATTTAGTGGAGGCGGGAGTTAACAGAAGTTTCATTTACGACGTACCGCCTGCACAGTCTGTAAGGTCAAGCGACGCTCACGGTGTCGCTACCGCGCAACACCTCTTGCGTATACTTACTCAACCGCCCGCAAAGACGATCAAAAGTCGACAAAATTGTTTAATTAAGAGCTGGCGAGTTACGGGTATCCTTCCCGGTACATTAAGCGCTATGTAAGTGTTAATTGAAAACGTCATTCATAGATCGCAGTTAAAGTGCGTACATAGGGCTAGGTGCGGTTATTAGAACAGTGTAAAGTGCTCTGTCGTCACCAATTGTAACTATGTACCCGCGATGCACTCAATTGCCAATAGTGTAGACACTGGCAGGGCACTGTATTTTGTATCCGTGGACCGTGATCCCTCGATGCGTTCTTGCCAGGCGTCGTGTCAGGTGTTGGACCACCCCTGCCGCACTCCCCTCTTTATGTCCTGTATTGCGCGGAGAGGAGTCTACGAACTCTACGATATCTACACAATCACACAATCACACGGTGTTATCTCATCATAATCGAGGATCGAATACATCTTTGCCTCTTCAAGCGCTCTTTTCTGCGTCAACGGTATCCCCTCGCAATGGGAGGCGGTTGAGGGGTTCCGTATACCACCTCAGCATAGGCAGCGCACACCCACGACGGGCCTCACGAAGGGAGGCCTTGGTGCCACTCGAAACATGAGATAATGCCCAGATCAGCCAAGATAGGGGGCCATGGCAGTTAGCGCGGCCAGGGCGTGGTAGTGTAGACCGCATGACAAGAGGTTTCGGCGGCACCACGGCACCTCATAGCGCGAGCCGCGATGATGGAAGGTCGTTAAGCAGTCCCCTGGCGCGCCAGTGAGGGTTGCAGGGGTGGATAGAGGCCGCATTATACGATCGACCGGAGTGACCGAACAGGTGATGTTTGAGCGTAGATCTAGATAGATCTATACAGAACACCGGTCCAGGCATCGATCAATACAGCCTAACCGTCGGGTGTCGATGGCATTCTGCTCTGTTCGGGCCAATCATGTCCCCCTACCCTGAGGCATCGTCACAGCGGGCGCCCTCGATTTCAACCTCTTTGGTCGGTCTCAATGTGCAACAATTGCCAACTCATCATGGATCCGACTCTGACCGGGTCAGGGTCGGGCTTGGGGGCTCGAGACCCGGTCTCCAGCTAATCGCGGTTCTGAAACAATCATGAGAGCCATGGGTCTCCCTTGGGCCGGCCTAGTCGCGGCCGCGATGATGATGATGATGATGATGACATTCGACTATCATGGGCATAGCTCAGCCACGGTTTCCACAGCTTCCCATGTCACCTGGACCCAGACTGGAGCTGCTTACACTTCCAGGACTTTGGTGTTGGGTGCATGTGAGGCCCGCCAAGTGCTGCGGCACTTCCGAATCGCCTCAAATGTTATTTCTTTCACACGAGGGAATAATTGAGCAGATAGAGAGCTTCATGTCGATCCCTTAGAGCCAGCTAACCGACTACTACTTGCTGGGTTTCGCATCCATGTGATTTCTTTCGGTCATAGTCCGAATTCCAGATGAAGCCAGAAAGTCCCCCTTTTCCTTCACGAGAGGGGCCTTGGCTTCTAGCTAACCATAGGATGCGTCATCCACATTTCGAGCTTACAAACGAATAGTGCTCACAGCCCTACGAGAGAAGGAATTGGCTCGATGCAGAATAGAGGATACGGTGACCTACATGACCCCTCAGCAGGTCTACCTACTTACACTATGATGGGGGGTTGTGGACACTAACATGGGTGATAAGTGTTCCTCCAAATATATGGGCAATTAGCTGCGGGAGTGGATATAGGTAAGAATCGCTTACGCTGTCTGCGTGGTGGACGGTGGACTGTGGACTGTGGGCTGTCTGTATCTAGATATTATACGGACTTGTACACTACTTCAAAGCAGATGGGTTTACTCACAAAGTCGTGTACACACGGAAGTGGCAAGTACGTCAGCTGTGTAAATTCTCGACCAGCTTTGTGTAGGTAGCCAAACTTATCAGGATTTTACGTAAATTATTATTCCTTGAACCCTATCGCAGGCTGTGGACGTAGATAGTGTAGGTGGTATGTACGTCGTCTCGCGATAGTTAGTTAGGGCAAGAGCACCTCTGAGAGTAATATGTAAGTCAAATATTATAAGCGGATTTTAGTCCAGTTTACCCACTTTGGGTCTTCGCAGGTGCCCACACACACACAAACACAAACACACACACACAAAGCACACTTTTCGCACGTCTGCTTCCCAATCAAAATCCGTCCTGCCCGGTTAGCTCAATCGGTAGAGCGTGAGACTCTTAATCTCAAGGTTGCGGGTAAGTCTCACATTCGAATCCCTCCTATGGTGAATTCACCGTTAGAAAAAAACATCAATCTAACCGTCCCTTTCCCTTGAAATAGGTTCGACCCCCGCATCGGGCTCAATTCCTGATGTTCCCTGGATTCAAACTAGGGATTAAGCAACTACCTCTTTTTTTTCCCCTTTTCTCTCTCTCTCTCTTTCCATCCCTTTATTTATTTTTATTTATTTCAACTTTTCTCCCTTTTTGTTTAGAAAGGGATTCTCTATTGATATCTCGTAAGTGGGGGTAAAGTATGTAGATAGATACGCAGGTTAAGATGTCTGGGGCAATGGAATCGCACGGCATGGTCAAGGGCCACATGATGATAATCCCAGATCCGCCCGCAGTACTACAAGTACGAGAGAGTACATTGGTAGATCCCCTTCCAAGGGTCTGATCGTCGAATGAATTCCTCGACCTCGACCGAATCTTTCCTCTTCCCTTGCTCGTGCTACCTTACGTACGTAGTATGCTGATCATACCTTCCTTCCATCCATCCATCCATCATTCATCCGTCCATCCGTCCATCCGCCCATCCATCCCGCCATTCCCCCCTCATTCCCCCAACTTAAATAGGTAAGTTGGCGGTAGGCAAGGTATGCTTCTACCGTTTGCCAAGCCATAAAAGATAACTTTAGCCTCATATAAGCGAGAAAGAAACATTGGATTTGATTGATGTCCTATCTTTTTTGAGACCGACCATTGCATAGCCGACGGGGGGTGCGTGCGGCGAAAGGCGGAGGCATTGTGGAAAAGACACACGAATATTATGACATGGATTTTCATCAAAGGGTTTCCTTTCCGTTGACTGGAGCGTTCGTTGACCGCTTGGGTTGGATTGGATGCGGACTACAGACTTACATGTCTACCTACAGTATCTATCTACACTACACATCTACACTACACATCTACCGGACGTGGGTGTAGGTAGGTATATAAGTAAGTGGTCTTGTCTGCACGGCGCACGCGAATGGAGTCAGTCCATGCCGGCTTTGGCGGACGGCATTACTGTCGATTGGATACTTACTACGGACCCTCTACTTAGATAACTACCTAGAAGCCCGCGAAGATTGTTCGAGCAATGGGGGGGGGCTCTGATTCCAAGCTTGGTGGCTTCGGGAATGAGCGGGATATAAGTGCGAATATGGACTCAAAACGGCTAAAATCGAGGTGATCGATCTGCAACGGACTTATGCGTGCTACTGTCTGTCGACACTACTTAGATGACGGGGCAGTGACGAGTGGGTATGTTAGGTAGGTGTATTGAGAAATGGGGGCGGGGAGTCGCTGGAAAGCGCCGTAGGGCTTCAATACGGACTACCAAACCTAGATAGGTAGGTAGATCTAAAACCACCTATCGAGACGTATTTACCCAAGTAAGTAAATAGGTAGGTACCTATCTAGGTATCATGACTTGACGGAACTCAACGGCACTTTAAGAAACGCAACTTAAGCGAGACGATTACTTATAGTATGGAAAGAAAGAAGGAAGGAAATAAGTAGAGCAATCATGCATCTGATAGAACAAAGAAGATTATCTATCTATCTAGATCAAGCAATATCTTCCCCAAGGGGGAAAACCCATTTTCAACCTAGATAGGTAGATTATCGACCGCTCCCCCCCAATCCCCAATCCGAGTCCCCGTCCGAGGTAACAGTCGATCGGGCAGTTTCATACACATGCGCTAGATACATACATTACATTCATACCAATACTTATATACACTGCATACTTACTTACTTACAGATATCTAACTAATCTAGCATGATGTAGGTGGATAGGTAACCTTGGACGCATTTTGTCTCGGAATCGATTTTCCTGTGCATTAATGAGTCAGGGCTAAGGCAGAACTTCTTCTGTGAAGTTTTCTAGATAGTTTCTAACCTAGGTAGTTTGCAGTTTTGGTACCTAGCTAAGTATCCATCTATCTATCTACTAGACTAATTATCTATTTATCTCCACTCCATCAACACCGCCTTTCCTATACTACACTACACTACACTGCATTGCATTGCATTGTATCTGTATGTAGTCTTAGATAGGTAGGTAGACTATGTAAAACTCATCTACGGCATCGGCCTATCTGTTTTTTTTTTCCCCCTTTTTTTCCCTTTTTTTTAATTCTTCGAAGCAAGAGAAAGGCGACATAGGTACTACTCCGCTTGAGTTATAATCCTATAAGTTGGATTCGTAGTTGAGGAGTTAGCTTGTATGGAGCGGTAAAGTAACTCTTAGAATACGGGCGAGAGATGGGGGATGAGATGAGATGAAATGAGTGAACGCATTCGTGTGAACGTGGCACCAATTTTTCCTAAAAAAAAAAAAAAAAAAGATCAAACTCTTTTGCTTCCTTCCCGTGAACATGGATGATTTTGGCTACGATGAAAGGTTACCTACTTGCGTGACACTATCCACGGAAGTTGGAAGACATCTATCTATCTAACCTAGACAATTCCCGGACGTACTTTGGTATTGCGTATTACAAGTTACAGACCGTACTGAGCCTATTTATACAACATACCAGACCTCGTGAGGTAAAAACGTCCCTGTATTATATAATAATCAGCCTGTAGACTTCCAGATGAGAGTTCTCATCTAGATATGGCCGAAATATACAACATGTTAACTCCGCGGCCCTCTTTATAAAAGAGTTTACGGTACGGGCACGATCAAACAGAGACATTTTATCGAGATCTCAAGTAACTAGCTAAACTATAATCCTATCCTATCCTATCCTATTCTGTTCTGTTACTTACCACGGTATGTACGAACGCACACTTTGTAAGAGCTCTCTTTTTACATTCATGCATTTCCAATCATCAACATACCTATTTTCTATAGAGATTCCCATAACCATCCGTGGCGTTGTCTAGAACAGGCACCACCTACGCACACAACTCTCCAGAACAAGTACCTATCTAGAGTTTCCGCGGATCGAATACCTACCCATGGTAAACATGCCCAGCTAGACAGGGTAGTAAAACCAAAAAAAAACAAAAGCAAAAGCGAAAGCGAAAGCAAAAAGGCACGGGGGACCGCGGGAATTTCTCGGCAGTTACCTAGGAATCGTAGATTTCCGGTAGAGCCGGGATGTCGTATGGAACATTCGGCCCGCCAGCTGGTTAGCATACATAGCATCACGACGAGGCCCGGGCCCGGGCTTGGTAGTGAATATATGGTATGGTATGGTCACGGTGCAGGGTATCTAGTTCTAAACCAACTGGCAGCTTCACATTAGATGGAAGCGGGAATAATCAGTAGAATGAGAAAAGACAGTATTATATATATATATATATAAAGAATTCTTCGCAATGTAAAGAAGATGTAATCGACACAGGCTTCATGCTCGGAATCTTGGAATAATGCGAGACCCATAACGCGGTAGCACTATCTAGGCACAATCCACCGAACCGGCTCGATGGATTGGAAATACCAACTAATAACCTCCAATACATGTAGGAAGTAAAGGTAAGCCCCCTAATCCCCTGGCCAACACGTCGAGATATTAATCGATTCCGCGTTCATCCATCCATCCATACAACAGGACTGGGTACCGAGGAAAACCGCAAATCCTGATCTGCCACGATAGGAAACCCCATAAAAATCACATTCACGGGGAAGGAGCTCGAGTTGACAACTACCTATTTCAGCCGTGGGGTGGTTGCCTCGTTTCCCCTTGTAGTCTACCTAGATAGAGCCCCAGCGCCTAGTAAAACTCCCATCTTCAACAACGTAGACACCGTGCCACATCCACGCAGAAGTGTGTATAACAACGTAGTACCTCCCCGGCGCGCAAACTCGGGAACCACACCATGTATTCCAAGGCCTTGACGAAGCTCAGCGTCACGGCCTCCGCTTTCACGCGTAAAAAAGCCGCTCAGGATTTGCTCGATCTCGTAACTCCCCTCCTAGGAGTCAAGACACAGCAGCGGCCTGGTTCCCTTCCACCGTCACCTCCACTACCACCATCGACTACCGACCATGAGAAGATCCTCAAAGCCATGCGACACCTCGCCCGCTCGCTCATACCCGGACACCCTCTCCACACGATATTCCACGATGGGGAGATCCACGATCCATTGGGCGGTGGCAGCTATGCTTTCCAAAACGATATCGCGGGACCTGTTCTCCGGGCTTTACTTCGCGATGAATATGTATCGGGCAAGGCGGCGATAGCTCACGACGCAGACACCGAGACCAAGATCTCTAACGACCGCTTGCCGCATCACCCGATTGTGATTCATGCCGGCCTCCAGCCTAATAACTCCCCTCACGTGGGAACGCTCGTCGTCTTCTGCTATGCCTTCGCATTTGCGCGAGCGCTTCGAGATCGCATGGCCAAGGTCGCCGAGAAAGGGGACGTTCTGCCATCGGTCACCGTCTTGATCACGTTCGTCGATACCGCTCCAGTCAAAGACCAAGGGGTCCAGATCGACGGCGTCCAGTATCAAAAATCGCACAGGGATATCCCGGAGGCCTTCTGGAGGTACATGTCCGATTATAAAGAGGTCCTTCAGTTTCTGTCCACTTGGTCCGGCATCCCAGTCACCGAAGCTTTTCAGTCCGACCTCTTCTCCAACCCGGCTATGCCGTCGCTCGTTGAATACATGGTGGCGCAGCGAGGCGTCCTCGGACCTCAATTGTCTCCGAAATACAGCGTGCTTGCTCTCCGCTCGGCATGCCCAGTACCGGGTTGCGGTCTTGCAGAAAAACATGGTCGGTTCAACGAATACGTGGATAAGAAATGTGGAAAAGCCCTGAGCGCTGCTATCAGGTTTCGTTGCCCCCATCACAGCCCACACACCATCCGCCTTTCAGATCCGACCGAGGTGGCTCGCCTCGAAGCGAATGCGCCGACGCGAAATTTGCTCCGCGGCATGACGCACTTGCTCGACACGTCCGTTCACCATATCCGCGTCACTGGCTCCGACTACGCGGGCATGTATCAAGAAACATTCCTCTACCGCCCTCTCGCAGCCTGGTCCGCAGCCACGGGTCAAGCGTGCGGTCGGACGCCTCATATCCTGTACGCGCCCTTGATCGTGGACTGGAGCGGCGCCAAGCTGTCCAAATCCCTCTACGTGCGCGAAGACGCGTACACGATCATGGAGCAGTTGGGCATGGACGGATTTTGTAGTTATGCGCAGCTGAGAGACCGGTTCGATAGGGACGGCGGTCGGGGCTTGCGCAAGATATGGGATGAGGTGGACAGTTGGGTTGCTGATCCGCGGAAACTATTCCGGACATTTTCATTGGCGTATATGCAGGGGGTTGTCTTCAAGGAGAATGATCACGATCATGGCCATGACTACCACCACCAGCCGTGACTCCTCGAGAAGGAGAAAGCGATTATTGCATTACCTATTATTATTAGCTGCTATGTGTGGTAGTAGGTAAGGACGGCCCCGATGGATGCTGGAATTATCCATCTGAAAGTGTGCTCTCTCTCTCTTTTTCTCTTCAGTCTGGTAGCAGTTCTACATCGCCCGGTTTATTTCGGGTTGTTTTCCCCCTCTCGCGATGACACCGTAATACGGGACGTAAGTATCTCGCAAGTAGAGTAGGTACTGAAAGAGTAGGTAGAAAAGTTAGGCAGTTCTAGAATGCCATTTTGCACTCTAAAAGATCTTCTTGACCTTTTGATCCCGGTCGCTGTCGTCTTTGCCCCACCGATCCGTCCATAGCGCGGAGCCAACATAGCACCACCCCTTGGGAGCTCCGCTCATGGCCCACTTGGCCTGCATCTCGGCGAGACTGACGGGCTTGACGAGCTCGTACAGTTCGAGGATGGGATAGCCGTACTTGGACTCCTTGCGCCCGGCGTTGAAGTCCTCGTTGCCGATGCCGAAGGGCTCGGTTGGGACGGAGCCGGGCTCGTGACGAATGGAGGCTGGGATTACGGCTATGTGACTGTTTGGAGTGTTAGTTTGCTATGTATTTATGGAGGAGAGTAGTGAGCGAGCGATGAGGAGAATTTACGGGGAATAACGAGGATGAGGGATGGGAGCGTAATCCAGAAGGGGAAGATAACGTACGTGATTGACGACCGCCCGCCGTCGGCGCCCGTCTCGTAGAACCAGAGGCGCTTGACACCGTCGCGGAGGCGGTACTTGCGGTACTCGTGGTTCTTGCACCGGCTGGCGATGTTGCCTAGGTGGATCGATCTGATGGCGAGGAGAACGTCGGTCATAATGCGGTCTGCGGCGGCTGCTTTTTTGGTCTTGTTGCTTTTAGACGGCTTGGCTTTTGGTTTGGTTATGCGGTTCTTGCTGTTGGAGGGAAGCGGTGCCATTCCCTTTCCGGGTTTCTTCGTTTGCGATATTATTATTGGTGTAATGAATTGTTGTTGTGCGATGTCGAGTAGGTGTGTCTATTGAGAGAAGGTGAACAATTACTTCCGAGGATTGGTTGATTGATTGATTTGATTGCAGACGGTGTAAGACGCGTCCTCGCGCTTTCGTGGTGGTCACAGTGAGTTGGTCAGGACAGGTGCAGTCTGTAGTGTACCTGTGTGGAATAGACTGCGTGTGTGAATCACCATCGAATGCTTTGTACATTGGAGATGCTAATTCACGCTAGGCAGACGCGGAATAGGTCGCTAAATTAGACCGCTTAGTTACCGGGTGGTAGGTAACGTTCCACTGCCGATAGTGCGCCGACCAAGCTATACTAGCCATATAAAGCAGTAAATTAAACCAAGAAAGGCAAGGCCCGCCACGGCTCATTTCCATTAACGCACGCGCCGTCTTTAACCAGGGAGGAACGTGCGCTAGATAACTACCTAAACTCATCGGCCCGCGACCTAAGTATGCGCACAGGCCAAAATGAAAAAGTCTGCCGGTCGTTTCTTCATACTTAGGGCCGAACAAACCCACCGAAATTCAACAACCAAGAAAGAAATGGCTTCGTGGCCCAATGGCAAGGCGTCTGACTACGAGAAAGAGAGGGAGGTATTTCAAGAAATTGAAAGTCTCTCTATCCGCACCGGTAATCAGGAGATTCTGGGTTCGACCCCCAGCGAGGTCAGCTTGCCGATGATTTTCGGTAAACATCTTCTTCCTTTCAACGGTTTCGTGGCCCAATGGCAAGGCGTCTGACTACGATGAGAGAGTTCCTACTTCCCTCTTAGTAATCAGGAGATTCTGGGTTCGACCCCCAGCGAGATCATTCAATATTCACAACTTCTTTTTTTTTGGTTCCTTCACATGTTTTTTTTTTTTCTTGGTGGTTTCGTTCATCCCGGCAGGATGGATTGTGCGAACGGTGATTTTCGTAGGCAGCATTAGGTAGGTGTTTTGGGCGCCGTGCATCTACCTAGGTAGCCTATAGGTAAGCTACTAATTACATAAGTGTACTGCGTTAGTGCATAGATGTTATCACTATGTATGTCTATAACCGGGCTAGATAGTCTCGCGGGAGAACCCCGCGATCTCCGAACCGGACGACCAACAACAATGCCGCCCGCCGTTTCAATTCGATTGCCCCTCCACTATCAAAGCTGTCTACCAACCTAGGTTGCTACCTGACCCGGCCGCATGACTCTTTGTCTTCTATCACTCTGAGCCTTTTTTTTTCCTCTCCCACAGGAACCTACTACTATGTAGACAAGCAAATGAATTCCCGAAACTAGAATTTAAACTTTATAAAACGAAGAAAGAAAGAGAAGAAAACCAAAAGCGTCAAGATGCCTAATTGGCGCTCCGATTACTTGGCCTCGTTACAAGAGGCTGAGCGCAATAATCCTGTGAATAAGGCTCTCGTGGAAGCTTGTAAGCTGCTATCTTCTTCCTCTCGTGTCTTGATCAATGATGCCGATGCGAGAATCGTCTATCCATGACAAACACAGCTCGCACGGATATGATTAGATACACACGCTAACAACGAACCTTCGATCCACCCCCCTGATTCCAGGCTCTCAGCTCGCCGACCGCGTCGCTGCCCTCGAGGCCGAGAAAGCAGCTTGGTCAACCGGTGCTGGAACCCCGACTTCCACGAAGCCCACGTCCTCGAAATCCGTGCCGCCCGCGTCGACAGCTGAACCTCCCGTAGCCGAAAGCGCGGCACAGCTCCGCCTCGATCTCGCCGAAGCTATCCGTGGACGCGAGCAGGCGCAGGCCCGACTAAAAGCCGCGGAGACTGAACTCGCGACGCTGCGGTCCAAGACGCAGACCGAGGCCAAGCGGGTTACGGACCTGACGAACGAGCGCAATGGGCTCAGGGCCCGGGTGCGGGATCTGAACGAAGAATTGGAGAAGAAGAAGAAGTTCTTGAAGGTACGTCGGAGATTGAAGTGGCCCGTCCGTCCTTTCGATTTGTTTTGTCCTTCGAGGCTGCGAATTGCCCTGTTTAATCGGTGGTAATTGGCCCGCGACCGGACGTGATGGATGCGTTAGGAGGACGGGCGGCTAATGGATGGAAAAGAAAGAGCCGTATTGCTTTCTGGGGACAAAATAGTCTGGGAAAAAGAAAACTACCCCTGGCTGACCCTTTTCTTAGGACGTGCAAGACGACAACCTCACGTTAAACATGGAGCTCAACGTAACAACGCAGAAGGTAGCCAAAGTGCAAGCTGAAAATAAAGAACTAGTCGATCGTTGGATGAAGAGAATGGGTCGCGAAGCTGACGCCTTGAACCTTCAAAACGAAACACCAACAAGTCATAGGTAACCGGTCGACAGCATAAAAATAAACAACAAACAACAGGTCTGACTCGAAAACGAATAACCATAATCATTACTATTTTCCTGTTATCGTCTACAGCTTCGCATCGTCTATGCTGTAAGTGTTCTAAAGCGCAGTTCGCGCGCTCGAAGTTCCGCAGCCAAAGCTCCAGCCAAGTCCAAGCTCCGCCTTTCCCCCAGACAATGAACCACCGTGGTATCCTGTAAGGGATCGTTCTCTATAATGTTAAAGTACAAGCTATAGTAAACTGACGTCTTGTTTTTAGAAATCGAAGCAAGAAAAAACTCTTGTAACAGAGTGATACGGCCCTCTACCGGGCAACTATTTCCTCGTGGAGATGTAATACTCGCCATCCGATCCAGTCCAACTTACCCAGTTCTCATGATATCGAAACCGTTCGACATCGAGGATACTGTTGGCAACATCATTGACAGCGGTCTTGTTGTCGTGTACGAAAGATTTAAGCGATATGATCTTGCAGCCCTTCTTCAGGTCGAGAAACATGTTGATGAGTGAGTCGTTGAGGGTGGATGTGAAGGCCTTATTGTTCACGAGCACAACATCGGCTTCCTTCAATTTCTCGAGGATCTTCGCATTGATACGGAAGTCGCCACGCTCGAGGTGAACCGATCCAGGTGAGACACCCCAGAGCAGACACCGAGCCTTGAACTCATTTTCCTGTGCCTGGGCTAGGTTGCACGCATTTTCCATCATTTCGCAGCCGTAGCTTCGACATCCAATCTCGAGTGCAGCCTGAAGCACAACGTTGCCGACCCCCGATCCGAGATCGACGAATACTTGGTCCGATGTCATCTTGGTCTGCTCTACCAGGATCTTGGTGACGAATGGATGCAGCAGTTCTCCGTAGACATTATCGCTTCCAGCGTCGTACTTCGTAAGCATCTCGACTTTCGGAGCGACGGTGCGATCATATACCTGGGTGAGGATCAAGGAGACGAGGCTGGAGGGCAGGTGGTGGATCCGGTCGAGATTCTTGGCGACGGTGCCATCTTTCACTAGCTTAAGGAGTTTTGTATTATAGCTGTCAAGAGCCGTCCGAAAGGCCGAGACGTCTCGGTATTTCTCGCTAACAGCCCGTTCCATCTGTCTCTTGAAACTTGTGTTGTGATCAATGAATTCCTTGGAATCGGCATCGGTGAGGTATGTCTCCGCTACGTTCTCAACGATGGCGAGAATATCTTTGACAGAATCGATTTTATCTTTCTGCCATACAAGCTCATACCTTTCATTGGTTTGCGATATTAGCATAAGCCGTCGGTAAACAACCCCTACCCAGGATAAAGGGGGGGGGGCTTACTTCTCCCGTGCGCAATGTGATGGATACTGCACGCTGATGGCCACCTCGTGATCCTTCGCGCCAGGGATAACGGGACACTTGGTAGCCCGCGACGCGATATCAGCGGCATGGATGATATTGGGCCGTCGTAAATCATCCCCAAACGCCTTCTTACGGCGCAATTTACGATTGACGTCGACGAGTCTGCCGTCATCGCTGGGTCGCGGGCGCTTTTTCCGGAAGGGGTCGTTATCCTCCTCCTCGTCGGACTCGGTGTCGTTGCCGAAGACGGGGGAGTCGCGGGGCGTGGTGGAGATGGCCTTGCGCTTACGGTCGACGCGCCGCTGTTCGTCGGATGAAGAAGGGTGGGGGGATGCGCTGTGAGGTCGCTGTGATGGCTTGGGTGGTTGGAGCCTTGTCGGGGCAGCGGTAGAGGCGGGCGACGCGCGTGCGCTGTTCTTGGTGCTCGGGGTTTGGCTGGGTCGCGGCTTTGGCTTTGGCTGGGCGGGCACGACGACTTTTTCCACGCGCAAAGGGGGAGGCGGCGCCTTGAACTTTGATTTCTGGCCAAAGAGCCCCATGATTGCCAAGAAGAAGGAGTTCACGTTCTTGGATTTGGAGGTTTGAAAGATGTGGTCCAGGCCGGGGGGATAATTTAAAAACTATGAAATTAGGTGTGGTAGTGGTAGTGGTGGTGATTACTGGGTAATAGGTCGAAACAGAGTGGCAAGCCGGTTAGTGGGCTGCACCATTGTACGGTCTTTCAGATAAGGAGGGGCGATTGACGGGGTGATAAGGTGGAGAGGCTCTCGTGTCATCTGAAAGGAGAAGTCCGCCGTTGTTGCGTTGTTGCGTTGTTGCAAGGACGTGGGTGTGGGATCAGGTGTACGTCGGAAGGGAAGAAGCCAAGAGGGGCGGCGGGCGGCGGGCGGCGAAAAAAAAAAAGAGAAAGTGAGAGTGAAACACGGGACCCGAAAAGAGACTGAAGAACGACTTTTGCAACTACAGCGAGGAAGTGCGGTAACGGTAAGGCAAGGTACAGTAAGTAGGTTTAATTCCCGTCCCTTCCGAATTATTAGTGAGCCAAGTTCCGGTATGCCTGTAAGGAAAGGAACGACATGCAAAATGGGTTTTGCAACAACAGGGCGAAGAATAGGTAGGTAGATACTGTATAGCAAGCGCGCCCGCGGTTTGTTAGGTTAGGTAGGTTAGGGAAGTTGCCAATGGCCCACTGTAGATAGTCGACCAAGGTCATCTATCATACCTACAACTTGCACTAAGGAGGTGCGCTACGGAACCTACTGCGGTACCTATTGCCCGCTAACGGTAGTCTAGCGACCTCGCTATGAATTGTTCGGGTTTTAAAACTCGCCTTACCTCATATCGCGGCGGGCTTAACCGGTTGCGCCCGGATGCACACGTGCCATCCACAAAGGTGGTTTATGAGGCTCAATTACTTGCATTCAGCCCAATTGCCATTGGTATCCCATATTAATTCAACGGTCACTATAAATTAAGTGCATTGAGGTCTTGGGTAAATGTCTTATTGCCTCCAGGGCCCGACAACACATCACGCCGGGAGGTACAATCTGTAGAAAGTAAGGTAGGTAGCTATCCGAACTCGGGCTACGTAACTATGAATGATTAGGCTTCTAATAGATGTGGTGCATAAAACGAGGCTTTAGCCTCAAGAGCGGGGTCGGACACATGACCATGACTTTTCACACGACTTCACACGACTTCACACGACTTCGACTTCACACAAAACAATACAACATCACACGGAGTTTTAATCAATTCAAAAGTCAAGCTTCTCTTTTTCTCAACTGCTTCCTTCCTAACTGATCCTAGCCCACCGCTGACGTGACTTTACACATAATATTTTCATTCCCCATTTTGACTCTCATTCCATTCCAACCATCAACATAAACCCATAAACCACTCGCACCAACGCAAACCGTGATGGAAATAGCAACGCTGTATACTAATTTTAATCGAGCTACCTCATGGCCAAGGCCATGAAGGCTGAGGATGATAGTGATGTGCCGTATGCGTACAGGAGATTCTGTTCCGTATTTCCCAAATCGGACTTCAACGCTTTAAACAATACACCCGGGAAATACTGTGAAAGCGAAATAAATAAGTAAAACACGAGGCGTATCACATCGTCTCGTTACGTGTGCCTTCG